CCGCCGCGGCCGCGACGTTGATGACATTCTCATCACATGTCAGATCAGGGGTCCCGTTCGAATTATCGAATCGAATGAAAAATGATCGATTATCCCCATGAGATCCGCCATGTTCGATTAGTGAACCGTTCTTCTCTTGTTATTATAACGAGATTTACTGCGCACTCCGTGCGCCGAATTCGAATTTCGACTTCGGATTCGAGCTGACCAATAAGGAATCAGTCTTACGAGTTTCGACTCAGGCGAACTTCATTTACGTATCTCTGCTTTCATGATAAGGATAGGATGAGCGAGGAATTCAAAGGTATCCACCAAGAACTTGCGAGTCCAAATATATCGAATGGAATAAAAAGCTTGGAAATTCCTGTGTAGACTCAAAATTTGATCTTCGTTAACAGCTCAGTAGCTAGGTGCTAGCCTAGTGTTCTGAGGTTGTAAGTTCGATTCCCCGTTGAATAGAATTTTTCAACACCCACCGATGGGTTGGAGGTTGTTAATAGAGCAATCGCCTCTACTGACATGGCTTTTCTGTAGTTTCCCATGTCAACTGAGATGTTCTAAAGGGGTGTCAGGGGTGCAAATGTGGTACAGTGTAGGAGCCATAGTCACATGCATAGGGTAAGGATAGAGCCGATTTGTATCCGTATGGAGGGCAGAAAAGAGGCCGTATATATTAAAAAAACACAAAATTTCAATAAATGAAGTTAGTACGAATGCCAATGGTGAATGGTGGCAACTTTTCTATGAAATTGTTCATGAAAAGAATATGTAAGCGAATCAGAATCAAAGATAATGAGAACAACTTTCGGAGAAATGAAACCATGTGCATTTTTCCTGATGTTTTCATAGAGGTTGTATCTCGCGTGTCAGAGGAACTTTAAAACCCATAAAAACAAATAGCATTCCAATAGCATACAATAGAAAATGTATCCAAGATACATTATTCGATGTAATCTTTGAGTTTTAAACTTTACATTATCTTTCAGAAAGCCAATAATTATTGCTATATACATGTTTATATTAAATCAATTCCTACTTAATAATATGTGGGGCGAATGCAGCCATTTATAAAAAATAGATGCAATTTGGGTGTCTCTTTAAATGTCTTTTGATTCTTCGTAAGCCCATTTTTACCGAAATACGAAAGTTTAAAGGATATATGCTGACGTCACACGTCACGTTGAAGCAAGCTAAAATGATCCATTCATCTCGGTTTTATAAGAAGCCAGCTTCATATAAAACTCAATAGAAAAGATAAATATTACATCAAATTAAATGAAAATTACTAGTCTGCGAAACTTGGAATACTGTTAGAAAAATAAAAGTGCTCGAATATAGACAAACAAAACCATATTTAAGTGTGGAACAATGAAGATATGAGAAAACGAGAACTATTCACGTAGACTCTGCAATCTAGATCTCATATCTTCGAGATCTTTATCATTTTCAACATCTTGAGATGGTTCTTCGGTTGAAGTTGATGATCCTGGTGTTTCCATCACAAGGGCAGGTGCTGTTCCAAGTTGACCGGCTGTCAACTCCCAGAGAATCTAATAATAAAAGTAATAGAATAGACAAACGAGATGGAATTATGGTTTTTTGAAAAAAAAATCACCGCTATGGCGAAACGAGTGAGCAAAATTTACAATTTATAATTTTTTTTGGAACATGGAAATCCTATTCAACTTTTGTCCCAACTATAACCAATGTATACTTCACAACGTTAAATATTTGCAAGACTATCTGTACTTTATGCTCCTCCGCCTGGTATTATTTTTATGGAGTTGTGAAAAAAATTTAAGGTCCGGATGAACCACTGATCGAACGCGATCTTTTACTTAAATTCTATCTTATTAGCCTAAAATTGTGACCCTTCATTCATTTTTCCTTTTTTTTCCACCATCTTTTATAGCCATTCGAGTGGTTCCCGCAATACAGATTTGATCCCGAATTTGAATATCTCGTAGGCTAGCAAGATAAAATTTAAAGAAAAGATGACGTTCGACAGATTGTCTGATGTTCTGATGTCTGATTGTCATGCTGGCCTGAATATGATTTTACTAAAAAATATTTCCATGCACTACTGATTGAAAAATTCGTTGTAAAATATGACAATGCAAAAGATAGGATACAACGATATTACTGGTTGAAGTAATGAAATATATTCGGCATCTCCGTGCACGATTGGATCTATTGATTAGATCACTCATAAAAAATCAATTGCACAAATGTGCAAATACTTGCTTTGTCCACCTCCTCATCTGCTTCATCTTCCATTTCTTCAGAATCCTCGACGGAGTCCATAGCTTCGTCGAGCATTTCCTCGATGATTCCAGCTTTCATCATTTCTTTTGACAATTCTCTCATAGTTGCTGCTACCTCTGGTACTTTTAGAAGTGATTGCATTGCTTGCATAATTTCGGTTGACTTTGACAGTGAACCCGCTACCCGTATTGTTGCTAATTGATTTTTCATTTGTAGAGTGACTGAATTCAAGTGAGCCTTCGATGTATGGATTTTGTTGCATGCTTTGCGAGCACGTATGATTTCTTTGGCCAGGACTTTACAAACATCTTTATCGCCTTTCTTTGCAGCCTCTTTCAATGAACGTTTCACTTTTTCTTCTTCACGTTGAATTGCTAAATATCAACAACATGCAAATTTACACTGTCAGCTCATTTCATAATTTATTAAATTTTTTTATTTTGCCACTCACCCCTAACCTGACGATCTAATTGATAACCCTCTTTTCGTAGTTTATGAGTCCATTCATTTACCTGCAAAAAGGTCCTGTTATTTAGCTTCAGCATACACTATGAATTTATATTTCCAAGTAAATTATACATATCAACACTAAAAACCTGATCTTTCGGATTTTTTTCTTGAGATTTTCCAAAAAGGCCCATTGTCTGTTTGGGTTGGGGCCAGAATTCTCGATTTTCAAGTATAGATCGATCAAGAGTGACAAAAACTCAATGCGTCAACGCATATAAAGATTAGAAAATCCGAGTTTCGATGTATCTAACACTTGAATGTTGTAATGCATAAGGATGAGTAATTTGAGAATATTGGTCGAGGGAATATGAAACTTGTGAAGTGCGTATTAAGGTATGATACAAGCAGGTATTGTCAAGCCAAAAACAGGGGACAAGTTCTCTCAGGCGGCACGAAACAGCGCGGCGGTCACTATCACCTTCCCCTCATCGCCATGTCACCCCCACTCTGCAGCTGTTCGGCACTGGTGGGCCTATTTAAAAAATGATAATTTAAAATAGCAGGGAAAAATGTAAAATATATTTTAAAAAATTTCAACTTCCCGGGTAAAAAAAAATTGTAATCGGAATATTTTTTTCAAATTTTCGAAAAATTTCTGGAAAACTTTTCAGAAAATTGTTCTTTTGAAACAAAAAAAAATCGGGAAACAAAACAACTGTATTTTTGAAAAATATTTTGAAAAATTTTTCAAAAATTTGTTTCGGAAATTTTTTAAAGGAATGTTCTAGAAATTTTTGCGAATATAATTTTTTCCTTTTAATTATACTGCTGTTTTCTTACTTTTTCCATTTTGCAATAGTCTCAAAAAATACGCCATCTAAATTATAAAAAAAATTTTTCCCATTCAAATTCAAAAAAAATTTTACAACGACCGATTTATCTCCATTGAATGCACCCTACAGCACCCCAAAATTGACATCTCAAAAATTTTTTGAAAATTTTTTCAGAAAAATCCATTTTTTTTTCGGCGAAAAATGAAATTCTCTTTTTCCTTACGGATAGAGAGGTGGGAATTTACTATTGGGAAATTGCACCTTTTTTTTAGGTCAATTTGAAAGAAAAAAAAATCACATGACTCGACTGAGATTCAAATGTAAACGCCAGAAATCGCTGAATGGTGGGGACGAAACGCGCATAAGGAGAAGGCGTTATACAGCGCTACGTACGGCGTCTGAAGGTACTTGTCCCCTGTTTTGGTGTCGGCGACATCAAAGCTTGGCAATGGTGACTGGTAGTTGGCACCACATATTTGAAAATTCATTAGTTTTTTTATTTAGATCAATAGTAGGACCTTTGTACATCATTGTAATACAATTAAAAAATTTTGTAGACCCTTCATTATTTTTTAATTAATTAAACAAAATAATGATCGGAAGTTAGAACCCTACCCCACTAATTTTTATTTGTAGACCGAAATAATATTAACCAATAGGAAGCAAATCGTTTGTAGATAATAAATACCTTGGTTTCATTCTTTTACACGTAATTATTCATTAGATTTTAATTAATTTAAAAAAAGGTCTATAGTGTTTGCATCGGCGCATGCGCAGACACTGGTACTCACACCTAGTATGGTGTTTTCGATCAGCAGAGAGGAATTGTGAGGACCATTTGTGTGACATTGTAATAGTGATTAAAATGTTTGTAGGCCTTTCTTTGATTTTTTACTAATTAATGAAAATAATATGCAAAAGTTACCATCGGACTTGCCTAATTTTCAGTTGTAGAACCAAATTGACCTTGCCAATCATTAGCAAATCGTTTGTAGGTAAAAAATAATCCTTGAATTATCATTCTAGATCTAATTGTTCTTTAAATACTAATTAATTAATGATATCAATGACAATGTGTCCATCTGCGCATGCGTGGACTCCCATGGTACGATGTGGCCGTACTTTTCTTCATTATCGACATTCGTTAAGAAAATTCAAATGAATTAGAATTCATCATTCCATTAATTGATGAAGATAATTAGCTACACTCTCATGTAATTAGGAAAGAATAGATGTAGGGACAAGCAAATGTGTATCAAAATGTAACATTATTTATAAAAATGCATAAATAAACCGTCTTGAACTTTCACGCAGATATTCGGCGTTGAATGTTGACTATTTCAACAACCTAAATATTTGATGTCTTATTTCACTCAGTTATAAAAAAGTGAGCTGTGTAATGTAAGGGAGATTCTAAAAATGAGATATTTGAATGTGTTAAAAATTGATATTTCATTCTGATTTGACATTCGCTTGATTTTGCATTTATTTCTCTTTAATTACGTGCGATCGTCAATTACCTTTTAATAAGTGACTTTTCATTGAGTTTTTTGAACGGGCATCGCCAATGAGGGTACAAAGTTAATTGTTTAACACCAACTTTGAAATTTTGGTATATTCCATTACGAAAGACAATTTAATTTTGGATTGGAACACTTGTATTTTCTATTTACTATTTTCGTTCTGTAATTTTAACCAATTATTTTTCGATAATTTCAACTTGGTTGCTTTAAAAACTATCCATGTAGAAGATGCATTTTAAAGTGATTGTGATTCCAATTATTTTTGATTTTTTTAAGAATAACTTCTGCTCATTATTAGTGACAAAAACGAAAAAAAAATTAAACGAAATCTAATTAGTCCCAAATTCTAATCATGTTCTCCTAAATTTCACCAATTTACTACCTAAATATTTACCAAGAAAAAAGTTTGAAAGGTTAATTAAAGAACGATATTGCTTCCAAGTGCATGGTGCCTATAATCTCTGTCTGTAGGGCACAGATGTACCAGATGTACATAACCAATCTACGCCGTACAGCAGAGAAAATAGGTTATGATAACCTACGTGTCTGCAAATTGACATCCCACATTTTAACATTGTTCTCAGTGAAAAAACGACGTAATATTACTAAAAATAATGGCTGATCGATTAACACAATTACAAGATACGATAAATCAGGTGGGATAATCGGTTCGTCATTAACTCAATACTTGTCTGGTTAATCAACTCCTTTCTGACAGTCTTGAATTTGAAAACATTTAGCATCACACCGAAATTTTGCAAGCCGAGGGCAGAAAATCATTTTAAAAGCAAATATCCTTCCAATTTGTCTCCTTTATACTACTAGTATGACTCGATTGGGTTTTTTACTTATTTTTTCTTTATCTTTATTTGATAGTGCTAAATGCCAAGAATTGATGACTTCATTAACATGATTGAAACCAAATCAAACTGGTCTAAAAAACTACTAAGATATTTTCTTTGATCCTCTTGAAAATTTTATTGGATTTTCGTTTTTCTACGTCTTGTTTAATGGTTGTGCCAATCATAGTACAGAACCAACAACCATTAAATCTAATCCATGAAAAAAAAACCTAAAATCGTTTGACTGGAAAGAAATAATTTATCAAACATCAAAAAAGACCATAATGAAAGAGGTATCCAGAAAATTATCTAATTTTTATTCCATATAGGAATATCCTGTACCAATATGTTATTTCATCGAAACAATTATAATTATTAATATTATCAAATGGATCAAATAATTTTTCAGGAAAATATAATAATTCAAGGTCTATAATGAGCTATAATGCAATAGGTCATCAGAACTATTAGAAACATTTAAAATATCCGGAAAAACTCGGACGATCAACTTTTTCTTCTTTCGTTTCAGCAAGCTGAGCATTTTTGCAACAGTGTTGGTATCCTCCAGCAATATTCAACTCCAAGTAAATTCCCTGGTTTCGATCGTGTCGGAACACCTCAACCACATCAAACTCAAGAGGACTACGCGTCTTTATTCGCTACCTTGATCGCACGATGTGCAAAAGATATCGATACTCTCATAGAAAGTTTACCGAGTGAAGAATCATCCCAAGAGCTCCAAGTCGCTAGTCTCAGTCGGTTGGAACAGGAAAACATTGAGGCTGGTGAGCAACTAGAAGAAGTAGTCCGTCAGGGTGAATCATTATTACAGAGAATTCAAGCTGCTCTCCAGGATATTGCGCAGAGTCAACTTGATATGCAAAACCCAATAACTCCTGGGGCTGTAGTATTAAACACAAATTTGACAGCAAACATCACTACCAACGTTACTCCTGTGCAATCATTCATAAAACAAGAAAATTTTGCTAATATTGGCCTGTCATCGACCAACCATACGCATTCAGCTTCATCACCAAATTCAATCAATCAATGAATCTTGATTAGTTGTAAAAATCCATCAAGTTTTTGTTCTATGCTTGTGTAAATAAAGATTTCATTTTTCACCCCAGAACTCTGATTATTTTCTTCCTGAAAACTGTTTGTTGTACTTCTCACATTTTCTCGTTGTAATATTGGATTGCTACGACGGAGACGTAGCGGTTGTCGGCCCCGACGACAACACATGTTAATACATTTGAAGACCACGGTCAACACAGAGAGGTGTTCTTAATGTTTACTTACCGGGAGTAATACCATTCACCGTGGAGGCAACAAATGAGTCAAAAAATGAGTCAAAAAATGCGATTTTTATGTTTTTTTTTTATTTACACAGACCTCAGCAATAAAAACATTCTAGAAAGATGTGTGATGCGTTCTATGTGGCCCAAAAATGGTTGAAATAGCTGCTCACAGCACCGGTAGAATCTTTAATGAACGTGCAACTTCACTGTTGTACTGTATTAATGCCATGGGATTTGCAGTTGGGCTCAATGCCCATGCATATGTCAAGAAGGAGGATGTAAGAGCGCATCGCGATCGCCGTCTCGAGAGTGCTTGTGAGTACGTAGGAGGGAGGAATGGCTCGTAGACAACATCAATTTCAAATACTAAAAGAAATACTATAGAAATACTATAAAAAAAATTTTATTTCTTCCAAAAGTTTGAACACGTTCTTCTTGAAACGATGTTTCAAAGTCCATGAGTACGATTACTAGAAAAATAGGTTGACTGATCGATCCAAATATGAAGACAACCTTCTGAGATATATTCCTCAGAAATTAATCGAAGAAATACGTTTTTAGGTAATTATTTCTATTTTTTTGATTAATTGGTCGGGAAAATTTTGGTCGAATAGTTTTTGATTCCGAATGGGAGCTTTGTATTCGGTCATATTTAAGTTCCCAATCTTTTGCGATAGGGTAATTAAATGTAGCCTAAAAAGTTCGAATATGCGGTGTGTTTATTGCTTTTTCTTCTCGCTCAAGTAATTATTATCAGAAAGGAATTAATGATTGCTTAAAGAATTGATATTAATGGGCTCTTGATCGTATCAGAATATTGAGAGAATCGCATCATTTTTTGTTAAGTTATAGCATATTGTATATGAAATTTTTTTTCGTTTTCTTTCGGCAATGAGATGACTGCTCAATTTTTTTCCTCAAAGTATTCTTATTCAAGTCAAAAGATGATGGAACTACCTCTATTATTTTTAGAACAGTGGAATTGGCTTTGATATTAGATTACACTACCCTCCCTCTATTTTTCGTTGATTATGATGAGCTGTCGCCCGTATTGGAAGTGCACTAAGAGGGATGATTATTAATAATATAAAAAATGAATTACCTTTTATTGGATTATATGACTTATTATTGAGAATATTTTACTCATTAAGATTATTGGTAGAAAAACGAATCGGAGTGGAGAGAGTCGGTGTGTTAATATAAACATAAACAATGACTTCATAGGGAGAATGATCTGAGAGTTCTTTGTTAATAGATGATAATATTTTTTTGATCTTTGTGACCGGTATTTAGTCTGCTCCAGCACTCCGTAGAGTACAGATGTCACTTCCTCGTGTCATATTAATAATAAAATAAAGTAAAGTTCAATTCACTGCGTTTCTCTTGACCTATTATAGATAATCATCTCTTGACCTATTTCCATTACTTTTCGACATGTTTTGCACAATTGATGGAGCTGTCGATGATAGTACGAATGAAACCATTTCATAACGAACCAACTTCACTCGATTGCATTATAATTCGATTTTCAATTGAGTACTTTCCCACACGATAGGGTGATTAAAATTGAATTAAATATAAAGATAATTTAGATGCATTTCTATGTATTCGAATAAATATTATAATGAAGAAAAAAAGTGGAAACAATGAAATCTGAGAAATAAAAATCCATTCGGAAGCTTGTTTCTAATTTCTTAGCCACAATAGCTCAATGCAGTTCCTTATAATGGCATTGCCCACTTGTTTTATTTCAGATGACCTCAACCAGATAAATCGTGGTCACCGCCGAACACCTCTTTGTAGAGGACCTTCTGGAGATCATCCGCGGAAGCTTACCATATGGATATTTTTCGGAATTTATTCTGCCATTTTAAACTTAAATGTTGGTACTACAACTACCACTATTTGTTCTATTTTCATTAAATAAAAAGTCTTTCTACAAAAGAATTTTGAAAAAACCGTCTTTTTTCGGCCTTCCAATTGCGTATAAGCTCTTGATTAAACGTTATACCCTGGTATGTCGAAGAAATGTAGAGTATAAAATTGCTGTAAAAAACGAAGAAGTATATGGGCTTGATTATTTATATAGATGTGAAGAGACGCAAGCAGCTTCATGCATCTGTAATCAATGGGCTGTAATATTAGCAACTCACTTCCTTTTGCACATGGAAATCACAGCAATTGGTGTTAAAAATTCTAGTGAGAGCGTCATTATTGATGGAACTAGTCGTGAATGTCCGCATGGGAAGGACTCACTTTATCAATTATAGTTTTCGAGAAAATCGCCGTTTTTAATTTCGATCCAGATTCTTCCTTTTTTTTCAATGACTGCCGGACGAAGAGTACCGTCTTCGTAATCGAATCCCACAAATTTCATCATTTTATCTGTGTAACAACTATCATTTTCGTTTATTTGAAGCAAAATTGCAATAAGTCTACTCTGTTATTCGTCCTGTAACTAAAGTAACGAAAGAACTTGATTATTATAACGAGTAATGAATGTTCGTTTTTTTTTTAACGAAATGAATATGGTCGCCGAGGGCTGCGTATATTTGTCTCTTCTTCCGCGGCAAAATATGGCATTAGATATAAAAAAAAAATAAATAAAAAGTAAAGGCTGGTTTATGTTCACCGGGTTCACACGGATATTTCGTAGATATTCCAACCATAATGTGTTTAACGACCGAGTAGAGGTTAAGTTAGTAGTACCTCGAACTTTGACGTCATTTTTCTCAAAACCAAAGTTTTTGCATCTTCCAAGGTCTATAGCTCCACGGTGTTTTCATCTAGCGCGGGCTGTGTAACCTTTGAAAATATTTTGAATTCAATCAACTATACTTGCCCATATAGATATGTCCAATACCCCCAAAGTCGACCTTTGTCATGCCAAGTCCATAGTTTAAGATATTATAATGAAACGAAATCATTATTTTTCAGGAAAAAAAATTATGTATATTTTTTTTAAACATTAATGGTATACAAATGTTCTGAACAGTTTCATTGCTTTGGAATCATCCTAAGCACAAAAATGCAAGGTCTACGAATTTCTTTAAATTACGAAATACTTTACCGATGCTCAAATTAAATACAACTAAACCAAGAGCTTTAAACAAAATTTACTCTTGGAAATAAATAAACCTTTCAAATGAACTTCATATAATAATGATAATCAAACCATCTGTGTTAGTGGTTATTGAAAAATCAGCAAATCCAAAGATTTAATATCGAAAATATGTGCTATAAGGATCGTTTAATTTCGTTCATTATGGGGAAGATTATTGGGTAAACGTATGTAGTACAATTTCACCATCACCGATTTTGATGATATTTGGTGGAGCTTATAGCTTTTGGCCTTCCGATTACGAATCTGAACGGCGAAATTGGGGAAAGAAAAGTTTTTTAGTTGATTGTAACAGTTCAAGCCACAATAGACATTGCACAATTATTGCACCAATTTCGAACTATTCAGGGGTAATTGTCTATTAGTTTCTATTAAACAGCCATAAATATGTATGGAATTGAAATATATAGAATTAATCAGCAATTAACTAGTTGGAAATATTTTTCAATGACGAGTGATGTTCAAAGAGCGTTGACACTTCAAATGAAGTTGATACACAACGGGGAATTATATTTCGGCTAACAGATATTTTTTGTGGAGACAGAAGAAAAAACACTGAAAGGGACATTCGTTAGAAATATCGATCGAACTATGTATAAGTTGTCGAACTTTTCTGTACGTTTTATCAAGATAATGGCTCAATATAAATTTTTAAGGGGAAAAAAATGTTTGTTTTGCGGTACTATATTATTTGATGAAGTTGTACAGAGAAATCGAATTACGGAGTTACTTGATAATATTTTATAACACGTGATACTTTTTATTAAATATTTACATTTGAAAAAGCGTGCATCAAACCGGCGGATTTTTTCATCAAAAGTAAAAAAAAATGTTTGGCGTATGCAATAAACAATTCTTATTTAATGTTTCCATCATCTAAAAAATGGTTTCTAATTGAAAAATCGTCGGATTTATGCAAGTGTGTTGTAAGTTTCTCAGAACCTGATAGTGTAAAAATAGCTATACATATATGTCATCATCAACTTCTTTCTAGAAGAATTTTGGTATGTGAACCAGATAGTGATACAAGTACAGTAGAAAAATGCCTGTGTCAAATTGTTAGAAAAAACAAATAAAAAATGTTATAAGATTCATCTTTACGTTGACTTATATCAATATTATTTGAATAGATCCAGTCTACACCGGAAGGCCACAGTTTTGATACGTTTTACTTGTCTGTGTCAAATGTCATTTTGAGCAAGGGAACAAATGCCCATTCATGTTATCAGTGATAGGCAGTGAAGGGTACTTCGTAAGGGAAATTTAATATCCATACTTATGTGATAAATAGTCATCTCGCTGCCAGTTAGAAACTGGAACTGTTTGTTTTCGCCTTAATGCAGCATTGGTTTAATAATGAAGTAAACATCATTCTTGTATTGGTCAAATCTTCGAACTTGAGTCCTTGTAATCACAAAAAAAAACTTTTTATCATTCCACCCATCATGCAGCGTCCCGGTTTACGGTCTAACCACATGAGTGGAAAAAGTCCCATGCCAACATTTATCCATGGCGATTTTGAAGCTTTCTCCGAGAAGTATAAGTATATATAATACCATTGTCAGACAGTGAATCGTGTGAAGCAGTCCGGAACCGCATTTGTTCATTATTAGTGTTGTAGGATGCTTATAGGAGTGGGAAGGCAATGATATCCACGAGTGACATAATTTTGTTTACGCCTATAAGACGGAAAAACGTGAATCTGACGAATGCGGCTTTATAGTCTAAGCCGCAGGCGAGGATTATAAAGCGCATGAGTCGGCAGTACTTTTTTGGCCATGACTATAACGCTACTTTATGTAATTGTGGGCAAAAACGCGTTTGTAACCGAAACGGTCTTTGTCAGTCATATTCTCAAGAGTGATTATCTTCAGTTTAGCGACGAACATAATTAGAGTGCATAATTCGCAAAACGTGGTGCCTACTCTATAATAATTGATTTTTCTTCTCATTTCAGATATTGCATCAGGGAAGTAAGAAAAATTATAATAGGACACTAGTTCATTCTTGTAAGGGAAGACTACTAAGTGTTTCAGAAAGCACAGGCTATTGAAGCGATATTTCTCATACGTTGAATACCTATTACAAGTCCGAAAATGGTTAATTAGTGCAGAAAAATGATTGATTGTCTATTGCGATCATAGATGCCTAACATGTTAGAAGATATCCAAGGCATGATCTTTTTCCAAATTTGGTTTCTACATAACTAATTAATTTTTGTATAAACAAAAAATTGAAGGATTGGTGTTAACTAGGGAGAATCAGGTTTTTATAAAAATTCACAGAAGTGGAAAACATTCCTGTGAAAATGTGGAGATTATTATGGGAATTTTTCATAGAAAGCTATATTGACGGTACAGAAGTTGAAGTTTAAAAATCTGACCCGAATTATTGCCTTACTTTCAACCTCACAGTAGCCCTTCACTTAATAGGCAAAAATAAGGATACTCTAGGAGTAAAAGGTTCAGCACATGTGGCAATATTTTCTGTAGATGAGACTCTGGAGTTGATGAGTTAAATAAGAGATGGTGTTGAACGGGATTATGAGCGACACATTAATCGTTTTAGACAATACAATAACATGAAAAGCCCTGGAACAATTGGTGAGAGGCCAATTTCCAAGTCCCCAATTCCACTTTTATCAACCGACAAACGAAGGGAAATTTTTTTCAAATGAGCCGGGTATATAGTGCGTTTAGTATTCACTCAACCAAAGGATGTTATCCATGAGTTAAGGTAAATGAATATCAATATAATATTTTTGGATCGATGAGTGTTATAAATGTAATAAACCATATAACTATTATATAATGAATTAAAGGAAGTAAACGGTGCACACCAATCAGCTGTCATTTATGTCTCAATAAGAGCACGTGGTGGGATATATCGATGAATACTACCAAGGCCCAGTGAAATGTCTAACGCCAAACAGTCCCTTAATACATTCAACGATCCTGAGCCACTCCAATAATGAACCTCGGTTAGTGGTAGTGTATCAAAGCGTCATAAGTCTGGAAATCTGTAAACGTTGAATAACATAAGCTGTTAATTTATCACCATTATATTTACACATTCCCCCGCGTATTAAAAAATTGAAAAGACACCACCTCATGATTGGTATCTGGCCATTTGGCAAGTTCCAGATACTAAACGCATATTCTATAAATGTAACGAGTGAAAATCAGAGGATTAAAATAAAAAAATAGATTAACTGTACTCTATTTTTCAGGTCCGAAACTTGTTCCTTATTTCTTAAAAGTTGTAGAAACTTATAAATTTTTTTTAACTAATAGCATTTTTTAACTAATAGCATTTTTTAACTAAGTAGCACTTTTTTATAGCAATAAAAAGTTTTAGCTTATTTCTAACCGAATACTAAAGAATTATCAGTCAATTATTAGTTAGTTAAAATTTCCCAGAATTTTAAGACTGAAAAGTGTACAAGGATCTAGAGAATTTTGCACACTCAATCTTTCTTTGATTTCGTGCCTTTTTTTCATGGGAGTTTACCACTTTTAATGCATTTGGAATATCACGTAGCCAAGTACCGTAATTGAATGTGCTTCACAAAACTCCTTATAATCTTTGCTTAAATAAAAGAAAATTTATTGGCTTCGATGAGAAATTTGAGTGAAAATTTATTGAAATTCTAAAATCAAAAAATTTTCATTCTACGGCGGATGGCCCATTTGAATGTCCCAATAGTACGGATCAATAACTTTTGATGGAAACACGGGAGAACAAAATAGTTGGTAGAAAAGTTGACTGGTTCAAAGGGGGAAATTCGATGTTGGTGAAAGGTACATTCTCACATCTTATAATTTTTATGTTATGCCGACAATATTTTTCATCCTGCCAAAGTTATGCCTCTTGACAAAACGAACTCAACGATGTCATCTTGTATGCTGACTTGATCGATTCATCATGAAATATCGCGGGACAATGAAACCAAATAGAAATTTCTTTATTTAGTCTGCTTAACACACTGTGTTCTACATATCACACATCTTTCATTGTGTTTGTTTGGTAAATAGTGAATAGTTATTGGAGATGTTCAATGGTGCAGCGATTGACAGCAAGGCACAACTCCAGCCGGCGTCGAAAATTGCGATTGCTCGCAATCGCATCGCTCATGCGAGTTTCTGAATTGTGAGTGCAGACAATCGGCTCGCCCTTTCGGTACACTCTTCGACACGCACCTAGTAGTAGTATGAGCAACATATCCATAAGTAATTGTGAATAGCACCAGATATTAACAGAATAAACGATAAGGACTCGATTAAGAATATTTTATCACTGAGGCAAAGTGAAAAATAGCATCTGAGTATTACATTGTGATGATACGATTTTTATGGCACTGAGTAAGTGGTATTATCTGAGTTTCTTTACATCGTGGAATAAAGAAATCGTAAATAAATGATATTTGCGGGATGAACACTGGCACGGAATTCTAAATACAGATTTTCATATTTCATTCCATTTTCGAGGGATATTGCATGATAGATCAACGTCGACTTGTCAAGAGTCATAACTTTCGCGAGGTCAAAAATATTGTTGCCATTTAAGAAAGATTCTTCATGCCTGCAACATAAAAATATAAGATGTGGAAATGTCGAGTTCATTAGCATCGTTTTAGCAGCGTTTTGCCTTTTAAACCATTCGGCTATTGCACCAACTATTTTCTCGTGCCTTGCTCGCATCAAAATTTATTTAACTATAATGTTTCAAATGGGAATGAAAAATCAATATACAAATGAATATTTGCTAAATTTTGTGTATAATGTTAGCCAAAAAATAATAAGGATATTCTATAAGAAGCCAATAAATGTTCTCGGAGAACGCGTTGGCATATTAAAATATTAATTCCATCAAAATAATGATTAATTCATTTAGTTATGCACTGATGATGGTAGTAGTATTATACAAGTATTGTTCAAGTTATATGTTAACGTTGATTTCAACGTAGCATATACTCTTGATTAATTACAAATGACTAATGTACATAAGTAATTGTTCTTCACTTCTGTTTCCAAATAATGTCTCTCGTTCAGACAGACGAGGCAGTATGCAGGACCATCATCATTGCCATATATGCTCCATAGTAACTGAAACTCATTTTTATTAAGTAAGTGGCTAAAAATCAAAATGAAAAGAGGTTCAACGATATTTGATCAATTTCACTTCAATATATGATATATTGAGCTCTTCTGAATACTTGAAAATGCCAAAGAAATGATTAGTTTGACAGTTTTTAGCTGTAAATGTTTAATATCGGCCAATTAGAAGCGCCTACTCTACCGCACTATCCCTTTGCGATTAAACCAATCATTTTTCCTACATTTTTCCCATATCCAATTTCAATTTCAAAACAATTTCAATAACTTTGAAAATCCAAAAAGGGAAAATACTAAAAAATGGAAATTCTCAGTTATCATATCTGCCAACAAATTTTCGGAGGAAACACTGGAAAAAAGTAGGGACATACAAATAAGTGAAAGTAGGACAAATCTACATGCTGACTCCCTCACCTCCGATGAGGAACAAAACTTACGATGGGAATTTCTAGAGAATAAAAATTGTAATTCACATGTTTTTACAGATAGTGAATGGTCCTACTGAGTGTTGATCTGGTCAGAGGTGAGAGAATTAATGCCTAACTAATATGGTTGGAACCCATCAGGATAGATGGGTTATGAGATTTTCCATTGCAAAAAAATTCCTTGTATTAGAAACACCAAAGCAATTAGTCCTCTTGTTTACTCTTGTACCGTTAAAAGTGTTCTCTAAATTTTCGTAGTTGATTATGATTAAATTCGCCAGAAAAATAGATTTTTCAGGCCATATGACATACATTTTTTTGGTCACGAGGTCCAACTAACCGAGTTCTGAGCAGTCCTAAATCTAGGCCTAAAAAGAACGAGGTTAGACATGGCCAAGTGACAAAAATCTCTTTAAGAATATACTTGCTACACTTTCGTCAATTCTTTGAAGTTTAAATGATAATTTTGTTGTAAAATGGTGAAAAATTCAGGTTGAAGCCTGGTTCAATGCACAGTCTCATGTGTAACTGAACATTAATGGAAAAAAAATTCTAGAAAAAAAGGGTAGAGTATACTTGAAAATTGTCATGCTTGAATTTTCAATAGTAGAGTGAAATTTGATAGATCGTATTCATAGAGCAAGGCGAACGTTAACAAAGGAAAATGGTAGATGTCATCTAAGTCGACAGTCAATACCAGTGATTGCATATTACTTTTTATACACATAAGTTAACAAATAAAAAATAAATAAAATATGAGCTCACCTCATAGGATCTTCGAAATAGTCTGATGGAACTTGAAATAATAGTGGATCGATATCGTGCTTGAAGGTGAATTCTTGAAATGTTATCTTGGCGGTAACTGTAGGCAGAATTGGTATGTCAATCTTAACTGGAAATCCGGGAGGCAACTTCATCAAGACAAATTGACGAAGTTTACTGAAATGTTTGAAGGGTGCAATAACTTCAAGAACATTGAGTAACATGTCAACTGTGAGTGGGAAATCAGAGCTCATAGCTGCAGTAGCTTTAAATGATTTGCTACTTTCTTTATAGACGAGATTACGCCCTAATAATGGACATTCTCCTGGTTGAGCTTCAAGATAGGCCTCCCAAGTAATTTTAGAATCCGGAGGTGGATTCAAAGAGGCTCGTCTAGTCAGTGGCTCTCCATTGGCAAAACCTTGCGAGCTACCTTTAGTGAAAGATTCCATGATGGCTTTATTTTTTTGTAAATCTTCTTCACTCAAGTGTTCCCGTCTTTTTCTGCTCTCAAATACAATACCGTTTATTTGATAGAAGTCAGCATTGAATTGACCAATCATTTCTCTTTTATCCTCTCGAAATATCCATCCAGTTTGAGCTCTAGAGAAGGTTATTCCCTTCGTTGACATTTGTGCTGCCATGATATCACTTGACATAAGTATATCAACTTCATCCTCTATTTCCAGTTCGGTCTCTTCATATTTAACTCGTTGGTATATTTTTGCTTTATTATCCAATACAGTTAATGATTTTCCAGGTTTTTGATCGCCATTAAATATGAAAGATATGTCACCACGTTCCCATCGCATATCATTGAAATCAACTAAAGTTGTATCCATACGTATTGATGCCCCACTTTTATGTATTCTACATACGTCAGACGGCAATATTCGTGATACAAGAGGTACCCAGCTTTGAAAATCCCATTTCAATTCCATGTAAAAATTTCCCATTTTACGCAAAGCTTCTACCAAATTTGGACGCCTTTTCTCCATTTGTTCACGGGCTTGTTGTTTTAATTTACGCACTAATGATGAGATTGTCTGTCTGTCACCATAACTTATTGCTTCAGCAAGTGGACTCCATCCAGACAAATTTTTCACTTTAACAGGTGCCCCATGGGCAAGCAACAGTTGGACGCACTCCTTTCTGCCAAGCATTACCGCTAAATGGAGGGGCGTATTACCTGAAATATATTAAATTCATACTAAAAATATATCAAGTCAAGTACAAGACAATACTAATTCTCAAATACTAGACAATATAATAAATATTTTTATTTAAATCTTACCATGTTTATCTTTTTCAGCAATATCATGAGTTCTCAGTAGAAAACTTAATGTTTTTATGTCGTCTTGAAAAATACACTTATGGAGTGGATATGCTGCATTCAATATATCATTGGCCATTTTTTCATTACCAAGTTAGCGAGTTACCAAGGGCCACAAATTATTGGAAACATAGGACCTAAGCTCATGCTTTTTTTTCAGCAGATAATCTAATTCAACATACATTATAGATGCATTTTTCGCTCATTCGCTTTCTTGGCCTCTCGTTCGCACTCTCTGAAAGTAAAATTATCAAATGATTCCCAATAATCTTCATTAATAGTTTCCATCCTATTGGGAAGTATTAAAAGAAAATCACGCAATTATTGCTTTGTATCAATCAAGCTGTTTAAGTGGATGCTCGGTTAAAATTATATTCCATTTTTGATTGTTCATGGAAGTCATAAGGAACAGTTATATATGAATTGAGTATTGGCGTTCCGCCATATCGGCTCATCACATTTTCTCACAATAATTATGTAAAAGTTTACGAAGTGATTTCAACACTACATCGAGCTGTCAGTCGAGACCAATGTCGCCTTCACAATCGCCATTTTTAAAGCTTGAAAACTGTACAGTCAAATACAAAAATTACACACATTCAATTAAAAAATACCTCTGGCCTCATAAATTGTCAATCCAAATTATCAATTCGCCGTGACTCAAGAAAAAATATTCGAATACTATGGGGCGCCGACTACCATATTGGTACACAACTTAAGTCTTCTTTTGTTTTTTTTTTCACTCTCACACGTTTATTAATTAGCACCCAATGTCTATTGTATACTAAAAAATCAAAGTCTTATGATATTTGAGATTTGAAGTGACTGTATTTTTGATAATCGGCACGTCTTCTTTCACTTCATTTAGACATACACTGGTGAGCATATAATGATGATACCTATATTTTTATGTACAAAGATGGGACTGTCGGTTTTTAGAAAGACATACATATATATCGATATTTTCACAAGTGTTATAGATATGACCAGACCGTACAGACAAATATTTATATATGTGCCAAGCAGACAATATGTCATTGTCAACATGTTCACAAATTTCCCACAGCGTTACTGGACATTTCTACGGTTGGCGGCTCATGTTTTTACAAGTTGAGTTTCTCATCTATATTCCTCTTGTATTCACAGACTTTCGCCATATTGTCATCAGAGCCAGTTCGTCAATACTTCAATTTGGAAGGTGCCGATTGCTCTTTACTACGTAAATTTCACCCTTCTATTAAATTCCTGCATGTAATTAAATTGATTACTAATTTCAGGAATCAACATGTCACTCATCCAGGGTTTCATTTCACGTTTTGTGCCTATTGTTAAGGCAGACGACGAAGACTTGGTTGACCCGCAGAAAGTTCTCCGTGTAAGTACTACAACTGTTGAAAACAATTACATAACTTAATAATTCTATATTTATAAAATAAAATTAAAAAATTATGAGTACAATAGTGCGGATAATGTTGAATGATTTTACACCGGACGCTGCTAAAATAATTTTCCTCTCAATGTAATGCAATTCAAAAGATAAAATTTATCCTTTTTATTATGTTATATTTTTGTTATATTTTATCCATCATGAAATTCTTAACAAACCTTTTAAATAGTAAATACTCTACTATGCAGAACCGATGAAAGATATATATGGTGTTCCACCATAAATTGCAATTTCTGTATGTAGTATTTTATATGTCAATGTAAAATGCTAAATGCTTTGGTGGGATAAATACTCACATATAATTGTGCATAATAATTCTTCAATTCCTTCATTTACGTCTTTCATTTACAATACGACTTGGTTTTTTAATAAACTCTAATGTAATAAATCTAAGGCTTTGTCCAAGTTGTTAAATTTTATCAAGACGACTTGAACCGAAAGGGCTTTCTTTGAGCTGTATGACTACATATTCGCACCTATGGTGCGATTATCCTCTTACACAATAAACTTTTGGGTCATGGGCGCTGAGAGAAGGGAAATTCTACTCAGAGTTAGGTGAAAAATCATTCTTCCTTACCGTCGTTGGACCAGTTATTGAGTTTTCCTTTAGAATCAGCGTCTAGATATTACTGTAAATTTTGAAAAAAAACCAATTTCAACGTATTTTGTATAAAAGTAAAATATGAATTTTTCTTTTTTCAATGAGAAATTAAAAGTTATTAAAGACCAATTAAGAAAATTATAATTTTTTCTGCCCCTTATAAATACCCCTTGCGGGCTTTTATGATTTGTTTCCTTCCCACCCCTCAACCCTCTGTACCGCATTTGCCGAAAAGGAGGGAAAAAATGTGCCATGATACAGTCGTCCTTTTGACAGAACTACACTGAGAAAAAATTCTACCACAAATTAGTGTGCTATTCACCAACCCATGGGACCAAACCGTGGTCAACAAAAAATTCGGATGTGGCACCCTAATTTTTGAAGAACTTACGCTACTTTTCCGTGAGACTCCCTTAAAAATTGGGGCGCCACATCCGAATTTTTTGTTGACCACGGTTTGGTCCCATGGGTTGGTGAATAGCACACTAATTTTTGAATGGACTCACACGAAATAAAGATGTATTTTTCTCTCCGTGTACCGCTCAGTAGTGAAACTATGAGATTAGAACGCTGTAAATTTTGACCGCCGGTGCCCGGGATCGAAGCTGGGTCATTGGCGTGCTAGTCTAGCACTCCATCCGCACGGCAACGGCACGGTACCGTCGGTACCCTCTTCTACTAATATTTATTAAGTTTTTCTGTTGAATTTTCAGGAGGAATGCTCCCAGAAACCGAGTTGTGTTAAATTCCAAGAAAGGTTGAGTACATGCAATGATCGAGTTAATTCCAGGAAAGAGACATTGGAAACCTGCCTCGAAGAGTTGATAGATTATGTTCACTGTGTAGATCATTGTGCTTCAAAAACTCTCTTCAGTAAGCTCAAGTAGATGGGTAAATACACGAATAAAAGATTCTCGGTATTTCTCATCACTGAATCATACTTACCATAGTTATATTTGTCATGTATATAAAAATTGGAAAAATAGAGGGAAAAAATTAAGTATGGTGGAAAATTATTCATTAAAGTTATGCACTTTTTAAAATCCTGTTTTCTCTTTTCATATATATCTTTATTTTATTAGAGAGTAGAGTTTTCTTTATGAAATAGTGACGATGTAACATTCAGGATAAACATATTTTGATTATTTCCATTCATTCGGCTCCAACCTGGAGTACATCGAAACAAACAGCACAGACTCTTACTGGTTTATTAAGTCCAAACTTTAGGATTGGCACATCTTGACCTGAGCATTTACTGCACAGAATTCTTCCGCAATGACGACTAAAAAAGAAAAAAATATATTTATGTTTTAGCCAACAAAGATCGACTAGTTGGTCACGGGAAATTTTATTCACGTGCAATATTTAATCTCAATAGAATTTTTGCTGAAAGTCTCATAGAATTCAATTTTTAATTATTATTACTTATTTTACATTGTCTACACCGAGAAAACAAAGTTTTTTGAGAAGTGCATCTGCATTTGTATGAAAAAACTCATACTCAAAATCTTGTAAGAAAACGATAGCTTGCACTGAAAAAAAATCATTAGTTAAGAGAATTAGTATTTCTCCGAAGGAATCACATTTTCATTATGAATAAGTTATTATCATCTTTGAAACAAGCGGTTAATATATTGATAGAAGTTTTCCTTTCTTAGAGTAAGACGTGATTTTTTTTGTCAATTTTTGAGCCATAAGTTTCTTGATATATGTAGAGACGTGCTTATAAAAAAACTCAATTCTTTTGTTCTCAGTATAAGATATCGTTTTATCGAGATTTTTGAGTGTGTTTGTTAATATAAGTAAAGACGCATTTCTTAAAATAAGTGGAAAATAATGGTAAATGTCTGATATACGCCCCCATATAAATTCACCTCAGCAATTTTAATTTCTCTGTTTCACTTAGCTATGTCCCCGAAAGCTTACAAGAGTAAATTAGGTGGTAGTGATATCGATAGTTAAATATGGGTACATCGTTATGTATACATCGTAATGTAGCGTCAGCCCTCTGCTATTATTGTTGACACGACGAGGGAGTGACATATATTGACTCAATTGGCATTGTCAAACTCCGCCTAAGCACCTAGAGGAGGGGAAAGGGGGGAGATATACTCAGATAGTGATGGGAGGTGAGATGTTGGTATATAATGTCGGTGACGGTGTGATTTGTTCTGGTCGTGGTCCTGGATAACGCAAAGAGCGGTCTATTAATAATCATATCTCTCACCCCAATTGTTTCTTCGAAAAAAGGTCTCCTGGAAGTTGGTCCAGTGAAAGAAACCTATTCGTTCCACCAAAGAAAATCTACAATGGTTTGAGGGAGCTATACTAGACATTTACCGTTTTGCTTTAATCTCACCTTTGAAATAGGCAATTTTACTTTTTAATTTATGAATTTGAAATTTATGCTTACAAATCTATGCGGAAAAAATCTTGACAGATTAAGTTATCGAGAGAACTGAAAACATGTCAATTTTTCTAATGAAAATCTCAGCAGGAAGCAAAAAGTGAAAGGAAATAGAATTTCCAAAATTTTTTACAATTTCGTGCGTTTACTAATGTAAAATATTACCAATGGTGTTTCCTCATAGTGAGGGAAAATTTGGTTCCACATTCTAGACAAATATCTTTATCAGCCCACGGCGCTTCTTGAGTCAACGAATCTAATAATCTATATAACAATTGCTTCGTTGCAACTTGATAATTGAATATTGTGATTCCATCTTTGTTCATGGAGCCAAGACAAGCACCAGCCTTGACTAGCGTACGACATAAATTGCCATTGCCTTTCATGTAAGCTGTCAATAAAGGCGTATTCCCATCGGCATCTGAAACTCCCAAAATTTTGTTTATTATAATTTCACACACTCTAGTTTTTAGCTTTTTTTTCTAGTTTATTAGTTTTTACAGTTACCTGAATTGTTAATTGGATACTGCGACATGGTTTCAAGGAAAAGATCACAGATTGTGGCTGCATTATCACGTCCACATCTCGCCAGTTCGTGGAGTGGATTTCTTCCTTTAAGATTCACTGTTTCTGCGTCGAGAGTGCATTCCGTCAATAGGGCTCTCACAACTGACACATGGCCATCTCGCACGGCTACATGGAGCGCATTATCGCCGTCAGCATTGGTGGCATCGAAATTTATACCATTCTGCAGATAAATTTTTTTTGTTAACTTTCAGAAATTTCAACTTTTTATTTGTAAAGTATTATGAATGATAGCATTGAAGAGATGATAGTAATAAGTTGGCTGGGGAATTCTATTGAAAATTCTATAGTTTTCTTTGGCCGTGCGGATTGAAAAGTTTGCATTCTTAGTACGTATTTTCTGCACTGCTTCTCGCAATTTTTCGTCAGAGAATTGAGACTGTCAGTGCATAAAGTGGGAGAGTATATACGAGTCGAGTGATATTTTTAGCGAGAGTCAAAGGCTACTGAGGATCAAGTGGAAGAGGGTGTGTGCAAGGCATCGCTAAAGAGCGAACAGAGCATCCGGTACGATAAGATCTTTCGTAAACTTACTAAAAACTTTAAGGGCAGGTTAAATTATCTGGTTATCTCCTGTCGATAGCTTTTTTTCTTGTTTTTTTTTTTAATCTGGAACCGGGGACGATCCCATATCAAGCAGAGCTACACCACAGATATGCCTGTATGCTAAAAAAAAAGTTTAAGGCCCGGGTGGACTACCTATAGAACGTCATCTTTTGTTTAAATTTTATCTTTCAAAATACATAAAAATTTGGGATAAGTTTTGAGGTCACGAAAATCACTGGATTTGGCATGAAAAAATAATGAAAAAAAAGAGGAAAAAATTTTGAAGGGCGCTAAAGAGCAATATTTATGAAAAGGGATTTTCCAGGTTTACAAAAAAATAATGAAAAATCTGCAACATTTGATTGCCTGTAGCTGCATTCAATTCAGTGGAGGGTTTGGTTTGTGTGGTGAATACTTGACATACATGCTACATATTTTTCATTATTTTTTTGTAAACCTGGAAAATCCCTTTTCATAAATATTGCTCTTTAGCGCCCTTCAAAATTTTTTCCTCTTTTTTTTCATTATTTTTTTATGCCAACTCCAGTGATTTTCGTGACCTCAAAACTTAGCTCAAATTTTTATGTATTTTAGGTTAAAAAGATAAAATTTAAATCAAAGATGACGCTCGATAGATAGTCCACCCGGCCCTTAAAAAAAATATATAAAGTCGGTGCTTCCTAATTGAAATGGGAGGATATTTGGAGAAGAGTACAAGTTGCAAATATCTAATTTGGAGGAGCAGTGAGGAGGGGGATGGATATAAAATGAGATCATTTCCTGAGGCATTCAAGGGGGATTATTTTGCAAAGTCGTTCTCTGAGAAATTTTTAATTGTTTATAAAATTTTTACAATCATAATTTCCTTACCTCATAATTGGCAAATGTCCCCGAATTAAATAGCGAATGATTGAGGTGGCGAGCAGCTATCACTTCAACGGAAGAGAAGAGGAGGGACAGAGGGGAAGTGGACTGAATGTAAATCACTCCGTCCGTAGCACATGGAGTGCAATTAGTAAATATTATTCTCTGAGAAATTTGTAAATATTTTTTGAATTTTTTTAGTCATAGTAATCTTGCCATATAATGGGTGGAATTCTTGTAATTAGAAACCCGAAATTGGCAAGACGAAAGGAGGGGTACAGGAAGTAAGATGAATTTATACCCAAATAATTTTTTTCGAAACATCAAAACACCAAAATTAAACTCTGCAACGTTCACCCTATTTCTCCTAACCCTTCTCTTCTCACTCTGCGAAGTGACAGGTGATCACCACCTCAATAGTGCTTTTTAAAAAAATTCTAAACATATTTGCAAATTTCTCAGAGAATGATATTAAGCAATTGTTGCCCATGTGCTGCGCACGGGGTGACTTACATTCAGTTCACTTCCCCTCTGTCCATTTTCTCTTCCCCTGAATTGACAGCTGCTAGCCACTTCGATTTTTCGCTATCTGATTCGGGGACATCTAAATAAGAGATAAGGAAATTATGATTGAAAAAATCTTAAAAATGATTAAAAATGCCTCAGAGAATGACTTTGCAGAATAATCCTCCCTGAATCTCTCAGGAAATGATGTATTTTTATAGCCTTCTCTTCACCCATCCTCCGTCAAATTCGACATTTGCAACTTGTGCTTTTCTACAATTACCCTTCCATCACAATTAAAAAGCACGGATTCTATATTTTTTTTTCACTTATATTCGAACCTACATGCATTTATGTGCTGCAGCTCCGCTTGATGAGAGCTGTACCAAAGTTTCAGGTAAAAATTACAAAAAAAAAAACTATCTATACCAGATAATCAGATACCCCAACCGGGCCTTAAAGGAGAAGTCACATACTGGTCATCCCTTCTCTTTTAGCACGTGTAACGTATACTGTTTATTTATAAGAGCTGCCTGGGCTTCCTTGACTTATTCGAATAGAGAAATATAAACAATTTTTTTTTTAAGAAAATCATTCTTTCTTGGGGAGAAAATCACATATAATTTTAATTAAATTTGATTACAAATTTCTATAAAAGTCTTCTTTGTCGAGTAAAAGGTGAACTATAAAAATTTTGTTATTTATAGCAACGGATAAAAAAAAGAGGAATGGCGGAAGAAAATTCTGTGTGTCACTTTGATAGTAAAGAATACTCGTGCCTACATAGTTCCAAAAGAACAGACGGAATTTCTCGGAGAATACCTCCTCATAATGACAAATCCCTCAATGAGAGGTTACTATCTAGGCGAAAAGTATTCATTGACAGAATTGACCATTATCAATAACCCTAAATTTCGAAAGGAAAAACGAAACATTTGCAATAAGGGCTTGGGATTGGCCCGTACAAGTGCACCAGCCTGGTGACTCATATCCCGGTAATTTTCTTCAAAATGAGCAATGGAATAATATGGATGTTTTCGATTTCGTCCGCAATTTTTTTCTACGCTGTGTATGATAAGATAAAGTTCCAGATAAATTTTCAGTAAGAAAACAAAATTTTGACCAAGTTACAATTTTTTGAAAATTGGAACATGTTTCTAGTGATGAAGAATCAATTTGTATTTTCGGAAAACTTAACCCGAAACGATTAATCATCATTTATTATCATAATTTCATTGCGAGGAGCAGATAGTCTGCTGAAAACCATCAAAGATGAGCCCCAAAAACTCGGTTTTATATAAAATTCTTCACATTATTTTGTACTATTTTTCATACTACGAAGTAAAATTTTCCATAGAACTTTTTTTTGTAAAACGGAATGACTTTTACACAAACGGTTTTATAAGTGGTTTGGATTATAGTTATTTTCAGGCCTGGACGGGGAATACAGATCATCCCTCCCCGCATGCAAGATTGAGCCGAGCCGAAGGCGATGATAGCAAGCACACGGGGAAGGGTGATCTGTTTTGCATGGCGTGACTAACAAAAATTTCCCAGGCTCAGGCCTTGAAAAAATTGTGTTTTTCAGGCGCCAGCCTTGAAAGAGTATAGTACCTGACTGTTCGGACGGGATTTTTTACTCATGGGGCTGCCCGCCGTGCCTTCGGTTCGGCTCGTCAAACTCCACGCGACTAAAAAACCCATCCCAACAATCCGAATATTATTTTTCGGTAGTAATTTTCAGGTTTGGGAAGTATGTAGCAATAGAAATCATGAGAAGCAGTACGGAAAAATATATTCTCTTGTAAAATAGGAAATTGAGAGGGTTGCTTCGATTTCAATTAAACGAAGTGCTAATTCAATTCGAAAACGAACGATTACATTCACATTTATAATCAATCGAAATTGATCGAAATCGATAATATCGAATATGTGTATAGGTCACCTGAAAAAATTATGTGTTAGATGTCACCAAAGATTAAAGGACACTGATAATGTTTTTCATTGGGAGAGGTTTGTGTATTTCAATTTGGCATTGAGAGAAGAAAATATAGAAACGAAAAGTATGAAAATACATGTGAAGTCAGGTCTATTGATATCAAGATAATAAAACTTTTCCTCTCGTATACCCTTGCGGGTCTTTACGATTTGTTCCTTCTTACCCCCTAAATACTGATTGTATTTTGCATTCCTTATTAAGAAAATCGTTGTTACTCTGAGTTAGTCAACACTTTCGAAGCTTTCTATTCTTTTGGTTGAGAAATATATGTATACCCTGGGAACTTTTTCGAAGCTTATGAAATTGGCTTTTCAATGGTTGCTGTTACATCTCGGTATGTCGGCCCATACGGAAACTATGACGTTTGTAATGGTCAAAATAGATGTAAAATTTATGTCAGGTCACGCTCGCCGTTTTCATTTAGAGAGTTTTTTCCACATTTCAACTAATGATAGGCAATGAGTATGTAGTACCATTCGGGAGCTAGCAGAATAAACTTTCATATCATATTACATTCATTCTCCGGTTTGTGCGATGTTCCGATTCCTAAACATTTAAACTCGGAAATGAACTGTTCTGATAAGTATCTATGTATATAAGTTTTAGGGTTTCACTTGGTTTTTTAATTATGAACGCTCAAATATAAAAAAATCGGTTTCAGTTGGGTGTGAAATATCATGTCACATTCGCACTTTTTGTTATGTTGTTTCTATGATTTTGTAATATTGCATCCGTAATCTCATAATACGAATGTAATATTCTGAAACGCTTCGGAATTTGCGGTTCGGAAACAATATTCTCTTTTGTTATATCCTGCCTGGGGGGTACTCATCTTTATTGTAGATTTTACGCTCGAAAGGAAAATTCCTACCAAAAGTTTATAGCAGGCATGGGCAATCCCCAGGGAGCTCGGAAGAGAGCCATAAACTCGAGTTAGGAATCCAATGAAGTTTATAACTATACCAATTATAAGGGTCCTAGTGCGATCACAGCGGGAATAGTAGTCGGGGGCCTTACAATGGCACTATTGGAGACCGTCCCATGAGGCGTCTGCCAAATGGTAAAGTGAGAGGAATAGCCGCCGCGATTAATAAAAAAGAAATTGGAAAATCCAAACCTGGAAAGAAATATTTATGAACATGATGCTTGTAAGAGTATTTTCCCCGGGTCAACACCCCGGGTTAAATCCTCAAACTATTCTGGCTGTCGTCTCTATCGTTCACGATCGGACGCCAGCCAGATTTTTCTGG